CTGTCTGACGCGTCTGCCTCCGCGACCCGGAAGGAGAAGCGGCGATGGAAGATGAAGATGAAGATGAAGACTGATGATTATCCATCCAGTTAAGAGAGTCTATGTTTCCCCTCGCTGAGGTTGCTGTAAGACAGATGCAAATCATTCCAACATTTATTGGCAAAAAAGTCGTTGTATGTAATTGCAACATAGTTGTTGTTGTTTTGTTTCTTCGAATGGACCACATCGGAGTTGCGCAGGTTTGCGAAGCGATGTCTGATCTTCGGAAAGTGCATCCAGGTCGAGGTTGATATTTGGGTAAAGTTAATATTTCCCGTCGCGTGCAGCTGCCTCAGTGACGTACTTCCATGTTTCACATGGTCCTTCAACAAGTTTACGGCCTGCAGGTTGCCTCCGACAATAAAGATGTAATGTGCATATTTTATTCATCTGTATGGGATTCATTTGGCCCGAAGAATGGTTCATATATGACATAGGAAACGAGCTACTTTTTCATGTTCTTCGTATCAAAATAGAAGGAGAGCACCCTGAATGGTTTCCTGTTAACTGTAAGGTTCGCTAGGAGATGTGTTTTTGCCTTTGCTATTCAGCATTGTTCTCGAAAATTGTCTTCAAATCAGTGCAGATCTAGCTGTGACGAAGGTCTCGACCTAAAAGGAAGACAGTTCAATATATCTGGCTAAATATCGTGGTGTTCTGGATACACAGATGATATTATCCTGGTGAGTAGTACGGTTAAATTGACCAATCACCTGAACTGTTTCTGTATGCATTAAAGTTTTGAAACCCGGTCTCTTCCTTAAAGCGTTGAAGTCAGAAATTTCAAGGAACCTGTGATCTACAAGTCGAGCAGATAATAGAAGGAAGGGTCAAGAGGTTGACCAATTTAAGTATCTTCGCTCCATCATCTCCACAGATATGAGCATCCATTTATGGTTAAACAGGAGGATAGCCTTGGCCTCGAGTTTTCGATCTCGTAATGCAACAGGTAACATTCGGTATAACCAATGAATGATCTAATCTAATAAATCCGTCTTAGTAACGTTGACGTAATTTGAACAGATAAATAGTGAAACCTGGATAAATCGTTTAAATTACTGCGTAATTGTTGAAAGGAAGTTTTATTACTTTTATTGGGAAGTGTCTGTTGCCATCTTTCCTAATCTGAATTATTGTTTCTTGAACACTATGTCACTTTTGATTACCTGGACCAGCCGCTATTTGGCAGTCAATCGCGCCGGCCACTCCCTGGAAGTGCTAACGGTGGCCTGGCGCGCGAATTTCTTACAAACGGATTCATGAATTTCGTTTCGGTTAACAAGCAAACGAGAGCAAAAAATGATCTCTTTTTCGTTCTTTCGATAGACCGTCAGAATAATTTGGTGAGAATTTGAATTTTTATGTGACCATACTTCAGAATGGCAGACATTTGCCAGTCTGATGTCAGTGACAGTTGTCAGACAAAGCCCCCTAATACTTGTCAATGTCAAGCCATCACATCAACCATCGATCGAAATATTATTAAGTAAATACCATTCATTTATTTTACTGATTACAAGATTTACATGAAGGTACCGGGTTAGGTTATCAGCCAATTTCAAGCAAACTTTCCTTAATTAATCTATGTTTTATGAATTTCACAGGTACTTGTAGTGGATGAAACCGATAGAGACTTCAGTCGCTTGTATCGTAATCATTTTCACTTGATCTATCGAAAGGTCCGGACAGGCAATGTCATAAGTGAATTTCAAGCAACCATCGATCGAAATCTAAACTACGACTTTATGGTATGCAAAGTATACATTGATTTCTGACAGCGTAGCAGTGTTTCGACGGCTGTGAGCACGTGCAACATGCAGATCGTTTAAGTTTTCTAGGAATTAGTCATGCTTTACGGTATTATTCATGTGCAAATTTCTACAGAAAGCACCTCAAACAAATATCAGTATTCATGATCAGAGTTTAGCAGTGCCTTCAGTCTTTTTACCGACCAGGGTTGTTCTGTCGGTTGGGGTTTTCACTCAGTCGAACGATCGCGGCGCGTCTTCCAACCTTCTGAAATGCACAGATGAGCACCGCTTCCTGGAAGGGAACAACAAACTACACGCTATACTAATCACACAGTTGTAGATGTTCTCTTCTAATCCAATTGTAACGAAGACTACCCTGAGTGATATACAAGCACTTCACCTGGCTCGAATTAATGCATGTTCACTTTTCAGTCCTTTCGATCTCATGTCATTTCAAACGAGATTTTGTCATGCTGTTGGAGGTCTTCCGGGGGACCGCCTCGTATCAGGCTTTGCGTTCAGGCTTGGCTTCGCAATATGGTTATCGTTCATTCGTTTTCATTAGCTCTACCATCTAAAACGCCTTGTTTTATAGCAATTTGCTCACTTTAATTGGATACCCTAATCTATCTCTAACAACAGCATTTCACACCAGGTCGTTTACAACTTCACTCATAATGTTAATCTTAAATTCTTCATTTCCGTCGCTTCCAGGTTCTGCTAAGTATTGCCGTCTCCAAGTCATAAAAAAGGATGCTATTTCGAATGCATGCGCTGTATATCTGCAGCTTTGTACTAGTGCCAGCATTTTTGTTCTTCCGGAGCGTGAATAACTTGTTATTCGCTGCTGATAAAGCTGGTGTACTCCAAAGATACAGATAGTGTGGTAATTTTTTCACAAATTCGGTAACAAATGGTTAGACAGTCCTTGGTCTTGGTTCCATCAATTTGTGTCCACTTTTTTAAGTCAATTGATTGAAAGATCCAGACCAGAACTTCTTTGTTTCAGAACAGTGGTGTTACAGCTTCTACGTTGTAAGCAAGCAATGCAGTGTCAGCCCGCAATTTAAGAGAGTTTTTTTGGAGACGTGGCCACTCCTGACACCATAGTTCCACTTTGTAGTGACTGAAACACCCAGTCAAGAAACATCGCAAAGAGCAATGAAGAATCCACTCCTCTTTGCCTATTCCGAACTTTATACGAAAGAAGTTGCCAAACGTTTCATCTGTTCCCACTGCATTGGACAAAAGATTATACACCTTTCTAATGTTGCGAATAATCTTTGGTGGGTTTGCATGTTGTTAACCAAATGTCCAAAAGGTCTCTCTACAGATATCGAGTCAAACGCTTTTGTGAAACAGACGAATACTGCAGAGAATTTGAATCCCCATTCTCTCTTTTCTCTTGGCTATCTCGTAAATATCTTCTCCAAACATTCATAGCCTGCCATGAATTTAGACTCTCTATCTTCTCAAAAGTTTGTCTCTAACCCCGTTCATCATAGCAGGCATGAGCTCTTAAGCAGGTATGGAGAGTAGACCGATTCCACGGTAGTTAAAACCAAATCCAAAAATATTTGCTAATACACCTGTAGATATAGGCTTTAGAAAAATCAACCAGGCACACCTGGATGATGATGGAAAAACGGCGGTTTTTGAGAACCTCTTAGGGCTGCAATTCGCCTTGACTCACCTGACAGATGACTATCCAGTGGGATAATCAACACAGTGTGTAAATCCTGTTGTTTAATGGTTTAACGGAGTCAACAAAAACACTGTCAGATTGAGCCTCTTTTTAATGAGTTCTATAATTGGAAAAGGAACCAGCTCATTCTTGATTGGACTCCATAATCAGACCAATGACATTTTTATGAATCATATGCGCAACGACAGTTTCCGTCTGAGTAGGAAAAAATAGACGGGTACGGCGTAGGGAACTTCAGGACGCTGCGTAGACCTCAGTGAAGTTTCGTTGCTTCTCAGTAAT